TCCTCGCCTCCACAACGCCCTCCAACATGTCCGATCGGCGACAGCCCCAACAACCCAGTGGGAAATAAGGGTTATGAAGGCTGACAGTGGTGCGCGCTCTCATCCCCTTCATCTTGTTTATTTCTCGGAGGCGATGGAGAGCCGGACTGCCGAGCGCGAGAGAGCCACCCACATATTGATTTTGGAGGGGGCTGAATTTGTTGGGCCCTTGGGGGAAGGCTTAATGAATCAAAAAGTGCATCAGGCCTTCTTCAGGTAGAGAGGGTGATACAGAGGACTTTGAATTACGAGCGCCATGGCAACGCAAGGGGGTCGAAAATGTGAAAGTGCTTTTAAGAACTACTGATTGGAGTAAAAGCGGATGTGACAATGAAACACGTCTGGCATTTTGATTACTTTTTTCCCTCTAGTTCAAAATTACATTGTTGCAACAGGAAGTCTTGGGTGAACCTTTTATTTTATTTTTTTTACTTTTCTGTCTTAAAAAGGTGGATCTCAATCACCAGAATAACTCTCTCTTTGTGGCGCTAGCTGCATGTGAAAGCCAGATCCCAACAGACCTTTGAAGCTAGGCAGGGCAGGGCCTGGTTAGTCCTGTGATGTGAGACCTCTGAGAACACCAGGTGCCACAGCGGGGCGGTTGCAGCTGTGAAATGCCAAAAAATAGTTGTGTCCTTCAGCAAGGCACTTCAGCTACATTACCTAGAATGAGTCTGGTGTGTTTGTGAATGGTTGGTGGTGATGGGAGGAACTGATGTGATTTTTTTTTCACTCATACTACATGCCTTTCTGCTTCTATACACTTGGACTATTGTTTCTTATGTCTTACTTATCAATTACATTAAATAGTGTACAAATAAACTCTTAAAGCTGGGGGACCTTGCTTTCAAACCACACAAAAACCTTGTTCCTCATCTTCAAAACTCTTATCACTAGTTCTCACACGCATGTATTTTAAAATGAGATGACCCTCACTCAGCCAAAAACGTCAAATTTCTTAAAAGTTCGAAAAAATATGTATTCTAAGGTTTTAAGAAGTTTCTAATTAGATGAAGACAGATGGTTTTGGTTTGTTCCCAATATTTGACTTTGACCAGACTCTTTGTGTTGGGGCAAACAATAAGTATTTGTTATGGAGATAAATATTTAGGGAGCCAGCTTTATATTCCAAGCTCCGATAAAACTTTTAATAAAACGAATGCGTTCCGAGCAAGTCCAGCGCATACGGCTAAATCTTTGTAATGCAGATGAAGCAATGCGGAACTTAAGAACGTGCTCGCGAATATTAAACGGAACTTACATTTGGCAGGTTGTGCTAAGCTATTGTTATATGTATATTGTTGCGCTGGGCCGGGAAATGCAGAGCTATTTCCTCCAAAGCTCTCCGCACCACTCCTCCTCCATTGTGTAAGTCTAATTAGTGAGAAGAGGCTCTCCAAATTAAAAAATGGCTGGCAGCGGGCCACGTGAGACGTTAGCTATTGTTACACGGTACAAATCACAAATAACAAGCTGCTTCTGTAGGCAGACCAAAAGCCTTTCTGCGAAGGACCGGTGGAATATCAGCGCTTTTACACAGATATAAACTTGGAAATTCATTTGCATAGTTATAAATACCAATGCAAGGTTAAAGGCCACATTTATTAAGTTGTATGTCTAGCTTCAATTATATCACGGTTTGTTAATTTTCTTCATAATATTGGATTGTTTGGCCAATGGATGCATCTATAATTAAAACTAATTTGCAGTAGTTCATAGTTCATTCTGGAATATACGTTGGTTTGTAATTTGATAAAATAGTTTTCTTTGTACAAAAAACTATAGCGGTGAAACAAATTGAAAAGTTTACTTCTGCACTTCTGTAATTCAACTTACAATGTGAAACTATTATGACAGTTTAATGTTTTTTAGAAACCCTCAAATGAAACATCTGAGAAAATGGGAATATTTGAAAATGGAATAAAAGTCATAATATGTTGGTTTTACATTATGTTGAGTTACAGAAAGAAATCAACTTTTGAACAATATTAAAATGTTTCACTTAATTTTGTAAAACAAATATATTGTCTTTTTCCTTTTTTTGTGTGTGTTGTTTTTAGTTCACAATGTGTACTTTGCATTGTATATCTTTTCTGTATTGCCTTGTGTACACACTGTGCTATACAAACCCATCCATCCATTTTCTTCCCCTTTATCCATTTCTGGGTTGAGGGAGGTGGCAGTCAGAGCTGCACCCAGTACACATAGCACCAGCCCCTCACTGGTCCTCCTGCAGGTGGTGAGTCCACAGGAGCCTTGATTATTCAGCGGGGGCTTCAGGCAAAGTGGGGTTAAGTGTCTTGCCGAAGGACACAACGACAGCAGTCATCAGTGGGAGTCGTGAAGTAGGTCTTGTGGTAGGCTTGAACCCACAACCTTCAGGCCCAAAGGCCACTGCTCTACCAACTGAGCTACTATCGCCCGCTATACAAACCCATTCTGATTGAATTTATTGAATATTTATTGATTGAATTTTTAAAGATAATATCAGAAAACATTTTTGGGTGTTTAGAGAAAACCATTATTATTTTCATTACAATTTGGAGACCCTATCAAAGAACAAAAAAATCCTACCTTTTTTGTTTCATGAATAGAAAACGTTTATCCCAACATCCTCGTGTTCAAGTAAAATACAGACCAAACAAAAAACAAATACTATTGTTTTATCAACTTTCTGAGATGATTGGCTAAGTGAAGATGGTCCTCTCTTTTTCACAGGCTGAACTAAAGATGTGTTTTAGTGTTTCAATCCCCCAGCTTTAACCATCTATAATTGAAAGACCACACAAAAAATATGTCCTTCTGTGGAACATCACTTTTCTCCCACTGGGTTTTTAGAGTTTTTCCTTGTTTTGTAGTCATTTTTGTTGTTGTATTTGCTTATTTATTTCAAACGTGTATATACAGACTAAATGTTTATTCATATGAATTCTAAGCACATGTTTGAAAAGGAGCGGGTGAATGTAAAAACTTATTTAGTCCCAGCCCTTTTTCACATAATATTGTTGTGCTTTAGTAACCAATGTTCAATGACATCAGTCTTATGGACCAATGGCTCTTTGTGTTTTGTATCATTGCATTTCTTGTGTTTGATTCTTGGATCTGTGTTGGCGAAGTTGGTGGTTTTGCGAAGTCCTCTGAGATAACAACCAAAACAGGGCTATATGTTTGTATAGCCCTTTATTTTAGGGCTATACAACATAGATTTACTTTAATTGAATAGAATACTGCAAAAATCAGCCAATGAGCTGCTCATTATGCAGAATTCCGGGTTTTGAACCAATGAAAAGCCAATCTTCTATCTCCTTTTTCATTAAGATGAAAATGTAGGTATTTTCCAAAGACAGCACGCCTTCATGGGTTGAAATCTCCGGCAGAAAACGATAAAACAGCAATTCTAATCAAAAAACATACAAAGCTTGTTTTTACCCACAAATATCTGAGATAGCCGTGGCACTGATGAGCTTTTTTTCCTTCCATGCCATTGAAAGTTAGCTCCACTTTAGAGAAAAAGCACCATTACTTTGTCTCCCATCCACGGTGCATTTCATCTTTCTCTCAGATAACCGTGAAAAGGCCACGTCCTAACAGCCGCGGCCGATGCATCAGTGCTCTGTCACATTACAAAGAAACCAGGACAAATTGTTGACACGAAGTTGAAAGCACGGTGTCCTCTAAAAATGCAGCTGCCGCATACCGACGGTTTGTGGCGGACGAAATTTGTGAGATTTCAGAAAGTAAGGTATGAGCGTTATTATTAACGTTGTGAATACATCAGTCTCTCTAAAGATAATGCTGGATTAACATAGAAGCAACTCTGTTTTAAGAGTTGCATTTTGTGAGAATCTACTGTATATTACTGCAGGTTGAAATACCGAGCTTTCCCCAGTGGGAAAGCTCAGTGAGTTGTTCAGACCTGTGTCAGCTTTTCACAATGGGGAAGACGGGAACGTGTAACGATAAAAGCGTCAAAACCAACCAACTTAAAAAAAACCAACTTAAAAAAAGTCCCAAGATGCCGCAGCAGCAAGAGCTCTGTTCTGTCTGGTGCACACTTTGCAAATGTATTCCAATGTGGTTTTACTGCAAATGGCAAATAAAATTAATCTGAATTTGAAGTCGACCTGTTGCCTCCAGGATCCCAGGGAATAGAATTATAATGGACAATAATTGGGTCTTGCTAACCCAAAAAGACAGCAGCATAATTTTTTTACTTAAAGGGATATAAGAGGATCTTCCCAAATTTGAGGAAAGAAGCGCCCTCTCCACTTTTTGAACAAAACTCTCTGGTCTTATTTGAAGAGCACGTATCACCAGAATGATTGACAATTAGGAGGACCAAAAGTCTTGATGATCCACCCGGAAGTAGAAAATCCTTCTATATACCTTTAACTTAATACAGGATGCAAAGTCCAAACTTCACTTTTGTCTCACTGTGATCATACAAATTAACATGCCCTGTGTGACTCACACTTAGTGTTGTCGTATAACCTTTTTCACCTGACTCACAAAAATAACAGGCTACGAAACAGTTTGATGTTTTTGCCATTTGAATTGCTGCTATATTTTGTCAAAGTTTTCACGGCTCTTTCAAAGGGCTAAGTCGCAAGGTGGGTTGAATGCAGAGTTCTTTATTTGTCGATTTTTTGCATAGTGGGAATGAGACTCAAGTAAGGATTTGAGTGTTTTTATTACAGAGGAACGGGCCAATCCACAAATGCTACTGGATGGCACCCATCTTAAAACCTATTTGAAGACGTTTATTCAAGCCATTATGGTCCAACCTAGCATCTAAATTGGAGGAATAAACGCCCCTGATTCACTTATGTTTGTGAAGAGAAACAAGGTGTATTGATTCAAACACATAGATCTCAAAAGGTGAAGAGAAGCGGAAAATGAAAGTACCTCTATTCAATGCAAAGTATTCTAAATGTTCCCCAAACGTCTCCAATCCCTCTCACCTCGTACTCCTGCTTGAAGCCGTAGCCCTCGGCCGTCTTCATCTGGTTGATGTGCTGGAGCAGGTCGGCCACCCTCACGGCCGGGTGAAGCTGACCCGTGTGGTAAGGAGAGCTCTTCCTGCGACAGTGTCGGTGTGGAGAGCCCCCCAGGAGACTGCTCGACTCATTCACCGAGCTGCGCTGGTCGTCTGGGAATGGAGTTTGGATAAATGCATTTATGAGGGCCATGACTAGAGCTCTTGAAGAGAATAGAATACACATAATACATGTATTAAAGGCCTAAAGAGAGAGTCAATTCTGTCTTTTTCCTGCATGTTGTTGTCTGAAATGGATTTCACGAGTTTAGAAAGCAACTGCGTCAGACTACATATGAGAGATTTGATACAATAATACATACTTTTCAATTAATTGACCAAATCACGTTAATTCAAAACGTATTTCTCTCACTCTTGTCAGTCTACCATATGCAGTGATGCACCGTGAACTCGCTCGTCAAACTAAAATGTGCTCCAAGCTCATTTAATTTTCCCGCTCGAGACTTGCGCAACTTTCAGGTAAAATAAATAAAATCAGCCGCTCCTTTCCGCCTCTGACCTCTCACCCTGAATCGCAGCGCCTCTGCTACCACGGACATATCTAAGCATTTGATAATTCACTTTCATGAAAACATTTTAATTCAAACTTGAATATGTATTAAAACGTATTTAAAAAAACGTTGACAATCCTAGACAGATGGAAACAGAAAAATTGCTTTACTTGGGTTGATAAAGAAGTAGTCAATTCTAGTGGAGGGTCTGAAGCAATAATTTTTCTTTTATTACAATACTTTTGTTTTGTAATCATGTGGAGTCACTGCTCACATTCAAATGGAACACTACCTTCTCCTTGGGACTACATTTCTTTCTGATTGAGTAGCTGAAGTATTTATCTGCCTTTAAAACTTATCTTGCCATTGGCTTTTATCTGATTTCCCTTCTCCTGGTGCTTGGGCCTAAGGCAAAAAACACAAGTCCAAAAAATATAACCACACTTCAAAAATAAATCTACCTCTACACTTTGACTATCATCCCATCGGACCATTTTCTTTCCCCTGTCCACTTGAACTCACCTTGACGAGGACATGCAATATAAAAAGGAAAAAATCTCAAATCTGGTTTGTGATATTTATACGGCTTATGCTCATGCCGTTTGTCTGGCACAGCAGATTGGATGGACTCTCGCAATCCAACGGCACTTTATTACATAGCACATCATTTTGATATATAAAGACATTTTCAAAGAACTGCACAGGAGTAGGCATTATAAGAATATGTAAAATTATAATGGTAACCAGGGTTGAAATGTGCCGGAAATGTTCAGAGATAGAAACTTTCTCTGGAATTTAAAGGGAAATAACGGGAATAAACTTGAATAAAATGAAGATACTGTATGCTCTTCATAGGGAACTTAAACATAGTTGAGGAAAGTTTGTTCTAGCATTGTCTTGACTCAAACTAAAAATATGCCAATCAGATACAATCACAATCACATAACACTCTGCTACTGAGATCACGCCCCCGACTGGCCTTTCGCCTCCATCATATGTACAGAAGATTTGTAGAAGACTGGACCACACTTTTGACACGTTTGAGCCCAAAGCACAGGACTATTACGGCCCATTTGAGCCTGTGGACTAAACACAGTTCTGATGATAAAATGGGGAAATATATTTAAATGCTTGAATTGTAAATAACGCATACACATGTCTCTAGTAGAAAGGAAGCGGATATTTTAGATGCTACATAATCTAATATGTTTAATGTGGCATGTTTTGGAGGCAGAGGGGCGTTAATAAAATTCTATATGCAATAATTCAAAAATTCCACAGCTAAATTCCACAGCTAACCATTTTCCACCCCTTTGCAACTTTAATGATAACTGACTTCACTGCTTTAAAACAATACAACCAGTCACATCACATCCCAGAGCAGAGAAACAGAACATTCATATCATCAATGAAATAATATAGATACAAATCAAAATCAATAAAAAAAAAAGACAAAGGCCCACACTATCACCACCTGTCTCTGCACCCATATGTCCCCCCTCTGATGTGGCCTTACTTCGAGCGTTGCATCCATGAGCGTCCAGGAAGGAGTGGGCGAGGCTGGCGTCCTGCTGGAGAGTGCTCTGTTCGGTCATGCTGCAGTCCAGGGAGCTCAGCTTGCGGTTCTTCTCCTGCCTGTACGACATGGCCGCCTTGTTGATGGCCACCTTCTTCCTGCTGCAGACGGAGAGACAGATAGAGAGCGGGAAGAAAGAGGTAAAGGTATAAGAAACGGACAAGGTTCAAACGTGCGTCTGAATGCGTTTAAAAAGATGCGAGATCGGAGGTGAAGGGGATAGAGACTAGATCGAAGCTAAAGTGACGGGCCGATGGTGGGAAGTGAAAGCTTTGGGATGGAATGGGACTGCGATAATGAGGTGGAAGAAGCTGTGGCATCTTTAGAGTCTTTCTTGTGATATTTGCATTTATTAGGGTCGAATTGAGCTTGTCTTTTGTTCATTCTTTGGCAAACTTCTGCAGATGGAAACTGTCCATCACTGTCGGTCGAGGAGAATTCATTCAATGAAAGTAAGTAATAATTGTATACAGCATATTTCAGGAACCACGATCACATAAAGCCATTGTTGGGCTAATTTCATCTGTAGTTAAGCCGATAGTGTAATTACTGCAGTTTGCTGATGATGTTTTTGGCTGGTTAGTACATTATTGGCCTGATAAGAAAAATAACTGTGATAATGTAATGACCAACCAAAAAATAAATACATTTTTACCTATAAATATTATGTAATTCGATGTTACTATAATTGACAGTGGCTAAATTTCTGTTCAATTTTTTAACGACCAAATTTGAATAACCATTTTTGACAAATATCGTGGGCAGGAGGGTCTAAGACAGCAATGATTTTCACATTTATTAAGATTTATGGACATTGGTCATTCGCCCCCTTTGTACCAATGGCTTCTACATGTTTGATATTATTAAATTTCCAGTGTTTGATTGTCTGGTCTGTTGTTGGCCAATTGACAACTTTGTAAAGTCCTCAGAGATGACTGCTGTTGTGATTTAGGGCATTAGGAAAGACATTGAATTAAATTGAATTGAATAACCACAATCTCCCCCCTGGACTGCCACCTTAACGTGGTGGGGGAGTTTGAGTACTCGGATGATCCTGGGAGCCATGCTGTCTGGGGCTTCATGCCCCTGGTAGGGCCTCCCATGGCAGACAGGTCTCAGGTGACGAGTCAGACAAAGAGCAGTCCAGAAGACACCATGGACAGCACTAACACGAAAACAGTGACGTCGCCCGGCATGGCGCAGCCGGGGCCCCACCCTGGAGCCAGGCCTGGGGTCGGGGCCCGTATGCGAGCGCCTGGTGGCCGGGCCTTAGCCCACGGGGCCCGGCCGGGCTCAGCCCGAAGGGATGACGTGGGCAGTCCTTCCTGTGGGCCCACCACCTGCAGAGGGGTCCGTGGTGAAGCGGTGCAGAGAGGACTGAGCGGCAGTCGAAGGCGGAGACCTCGGCGACCCAGTCCGCACACACAACATCTGGCTCTTGGGACGTGGAACGTCACCTCACTGGGGGGGAAGGAGCCCGAGCTCGTGGGGGAGGTTGAGCGATACCGACTAGAGATAGTCGGCCTCACCTCCACACACAGCTTGGGCTCTGGAACCCAACTCCTTGAGAGGGGTTGGACGCTCCACTTTTCTGGAGTTTCCCGCGGGAGAGGCGGCGAGCTGGGGTGGCCATTCTCATTGCCCCCCATCTCAGCCGCCACGTGTTGGAGTTCTCCCCGGTGAATGAGAGGGTCGCGTCCCTCCGCCTCCGGGTGGGGGACAAGTCTCTCATTGTTGTGACGGCCTACGGGCCTAACAGCAGTGTAGAGTACCCGGCCTTCTTGGAGTCCTTGGGAGGGGTACTGGACGGTGCACCGCCCGGGGACTCCGTTATTCTCCTGGGGGACTTCAACGCCCATGTGGGAAACGCCAGTGACACTTGGAGAGGGGTGATCGGGAAGAGCGGCCCCCCTGATCTGAACCCGAGCGGTGCTCAGTTGTTGGACTTCTGTGCCAGTCACGGTTTGTCCATCACGAACACCATGTTCGAGCACAAGGGTGTCCACCAGTGCACGTGGCACCAGGACACCCTAGGCCGGAGGTCGATGATCGACTTTGTTGTCGTATCATCTGACCTTCGACCGCGTGTCTCGGACACTCGGGTAAAGAGAGGGGCGGAGCTGTCAACCGATCATCACCTGGTCGTGAGTTGGATCCGCTGGCAGGGGAAGAAGCCGGTCAGACCTGGCAGACCCAAGCGTATAGTGAGGGTCTGCTGGGAACGTCTCGCTGAGCCCCCTGTCAGACGGACTTTCAACTCACACCTCCGGGAGAGCTTCTCCCAGGTCCCGGCGGAGGAGGGGGACATGGAGTCCGAGTGGACCATGTTCTCTGCCTCAATCGCCGATGCGGCGGCTCGTAGCTGTGGTCGCAAGGTCTCTGGTGCTGGTCCCGGCGGCAACCCCCGAACCCGGTGGTGGACACCGGCAGTAAGGGATGCTGTCAGGCTGAAGAAGGAGTCCTATCGAGCCATGATGGTTCGGGGGACTCCTGAGGCAGCTGTCCAGTACCGGCAGGCCAAGCGTGCCGCGGCCCGGGCTGTTGCAGAGGCAAAAACCCGGGACTGGGAGGAGTTCGGAGAGTCCATGGAGCATGACTATCGGTCGGCCTCGAAGAGATTCTGGCAAACCATCCGGCGCCTCAGGAGGGGGAAGCAGTTCTTTGCCAACACCATGTACGGTGCGGGTGGAGAGCTGCTGACCTCGACTGGGGATATTGTCGGGCGGTGGAAGGAATACTTTGAGGTTCTCCTCAATCCCCCCGTCACGTCCTCTGTTACAGAGGCAGAGGCTGAGGATGTTGGGGCGGGTACATCCATCTCCCTGGCTGAGGTCACCAAGGTGGTTGGTAGCCTCCATGGTGGCAAGGCTCCGGGTGTGGATGAGATCCGCCCTGATTATCTAAAGTCTCTGGATGTTGTAGGACTGTCTTGGCTGACACGTCTCTGCAACATCGCGTGGCGATCGGGGGCAGTGCCAATGGAGTGGCAGACCGGGGTGGTGGTCCCTCTCTACAAGAAGGGGGACCGGAGGGTGTGTTCCAATTATCGTGGGATCACACTCCTCAGCCTCCCCGGTAAGGTCTACTCCAAGGTACTGGAGAGGAGGTTACGGCCGATGGTCGAATCTCGGATCCAGGAGGAGCAGTGTGGTTTTCGTCCCGGTCGCGGAACACTGGACCAGCTCTATACTCTCCATCGGATACTCGAGGGTTCATGGGAGTTCGCCCAACCTGTCCACATGTGCTTTGTGGATTTGGAGAAGGCGTTCGACTGTGTTCCCCGGGGTGTCCTTTGGGGGGTTCTCCGGGAGTACGGGGTCGGAGGTCCTCTGCTGAGGGCCATCCGATCCCTGTATGACCGGAGCCAGAGCTGTGTTCGCATTGCCGGCAGTAAGTCAGACCTGTTCCCGGTGAATGTTGGCCTCCGACAGGGCTGCCCTTTGTCACCGGTTCTGTTCACTGTATTTATGGACAGAATATCTAGGCACAGCCAGGGGTCGGAGGGGGTCCGGTTCGGAGACCACAGGATTTCATCTCTGCTGTTTGCGGACGATGTTGTCCTGTTGGCTCCAACGAACCAGGACCTGCAGCATGCACTGGAATGGTTTGCAGCCGAGTGTGAAGCGGCTGGGATGAGAATCAGCACCTCCAAATCCGAGGCCATGGTGCTCGACCGGAAAAAGGTGCCTTGCCCTCTGCAGGTGGGTGGAGAGGTCCTTCCTCAAGTGGAGGAGTTCAAGTATCTCGGGGTCTTGTTCACGAGTGAGGGAAGAATGGAGCGTGAGATTGACAGGCGGATCGGTGCAGCGTGCGCAGTTATGCGGTCGCTGTATCGGACCGTTGTGGTGAAGAGGGAGCTGAGCCGAAAGGCAAAGCTCTCGATTTACCGGTCAATCTTCGTTCCCTCCCTCACCTATGGTCATGAGCTTTGGGTAATGACCGAAAGAACAAGATCGCGGATACAAGCGGTCGAAATGGAGCTTCCTCCGCAGAGTGGCTGGGCGCTCCCTTAGAGATAGGGTGAGGAGCTCAGTCACACGGGAGGAGCTCGGAGTAGAACCGCTGCTTCTCCCGTCGAGAGGAACCAGTTGAGGTGGCTCGGGCATCTGTTCCGGATGCTTCCTGGACGCCTCCCTGGGGAGGTGTTCCGGGCACGCCCCACCGGGAGGAGGCCCCGCGGAAGACCCAGGACACGCTGGAGGGACTATGTCTCTCAGCTGGCCTGGGAACGCCTTGGGGTCCCCCCGGACGAGCTGGAGGAAGTGTGTGTGGATAGGGAAGTCTGGGCGTCTCTGCTTAGACTGCTGCCCCCGCGACCCGGCAACGGATAAAGCGGAAGAAAATGGATGGATGGATGGATGAATAACCACAATGCCATTATCAAATGGTAACTCTAAACACGTTGGCAATCATCTTCTCCAAAATCGTCATCATCTTTCCAACTTTGAGCAAACAAACATTTACAACTTTTTTACAAAGAGGCTCAGGCTATAGGAGCAATCACTCAGGCATTTGATGCACTTTTGAAGATGTTCATTAAATGGGACTGTATGTTTACAAAAGGAAAGTGCAACCTTGAGGGATAGTTATGTTTGAAATCTTTATTGCCTCCATGCAATCTGAAATCTTTCCCTTTGCCTTATGTTTTAGTATTGACGACAGAAATGCTGACACTAAATGGATTTTGCAGGAGATTATTCACATTGGCATTGAACTAAATCACCTGTGAGTCACGCTGTTGCAAAGAACTTTCTAAATACTTGGAATAATCCTGCAAATATGGCACAAAATCAAAGAGGCTTCTCCAGGGGCTACAGTTTACTTCCACGCCAAGATCTAAAGCAAGTGGAGATGGGGGAATGCTTTAGTGAGAGACTGATGGTGATGGAGAAATAGTCACTTACGGGTAGTAAGGGTAAGGATAGAAGTCCCTTCTGATAGCATGAGGAGAGCAGAGACAGAGTGAGAGAACAAAAAGCGTGAGTATGGCTTTATCAGAGCGATCGATGAGGATGCTCAGTGAATGCTCCGGGAGGTCATCAGCAAACACAAACGACAAAAGCACAAGCAGACCAATTCAGGCTGAGCAACTCACACATGGAAACACAACTTTTAGAATTCTATCTCAGTGGAACGGAAGGTGCCAATATACAACTCTATGGAAAAAGGAAATTTTGGAAAGGAATATTGAAAAAGAAAATGCCCAAATGTTTTCACAAACCTAGCATATAATTCTTATGTCTGAAAGTTCTTCTCACGAACCAACATCAAGCATATGTGTTTTTTTGTGAGTTGTGTGAAAATAATTAGACCATAGTTGACATGCGCTGACAAAGAAAATGTGGAAGTTTGTGACCGTTCTTTATATTTGATGAGGATTGGCCTAGGGATGACAACCCAAAGTACCATAAAAAAGCTCATAAACAGGGTCATACAGCCATCCTCAGTTAAACCATTATTAAGCCTGCCCTATCTTTTTTTGAGAAAGTACCAGAAGTCCTGCGAGTCCGGCGAGTGTGCTGTGATGTCATTATAGTGATGTTATGTTTTGGGATCCAGTGTTTCCCACAGGTTTGAAGGCAATGTGTGGTGGTCGTCGGCGGGGGGGGGGGCGCTGGTCGGCCGGCAAAAATTAACAATGACATCGTTAATTGGTCAAATACAGCTTTATTGGACTGATCAAAATATCAAACATTATTCACACGCTGTATATTACACTATAAATACCGTTAACGCTGTATAAACCTACTTGTTGCAAAAAATAACATTATTCACACGCTGTATAAACACTGTATTACACTATAAATACTGTTAACGCTGTATAAACCTACTTGTTGCAAAGTTTGCATGTTTTATCAGAGCACCTGATTTTTCGGGGCTGGCGAAAAAAAGATTTTAATGCCATATCATAAGGGAAGTCCTCAGGACAGGGTCCATTGATGGAGATCCTCAAGCAAGCTGCCAGGTGTTCTTGCAGTTTGTTCCTGAGGTCTGTTTTCACCTGGAGATAAAGCAAAATGATAAATTATTATCAATGCAAAATGCACCAATATAAAGACAATGAGAATTTTTTATTGCTATTACCCTGTTCATTGCAGAGAAATCCCGTTCACAGTTCACAGAGGAAACAGGGATAACCAAAGCAATGCTTGCCAGAAGGCTCAGGCAGGGGTAGAGGTTGGCCCACTCATCAAACTCACTTGCCAGTAAACACAAGAGCTCCTCCTGGTTCTTGTTCTTGAAAGATAAGGGTTTGTCGTGGCATTAGTGTGTGTGTGTGTGTGTGTGTCAGGTCAATTCACTGACCTTGAATATAATATTGAATATAATCAATTCTATCTCGTTCTCTCCCTGACCCTGTCTTTCTGCTTGAGCAGCACTGGTTGAAGCCTGAAAATATTGTAAACAACTTGTATAGCTAATTACACTGCGGACTGTTTCAGACCGATACCTCTGGTTCAGGCTGATCCTCATCCTCAACGCGTGTCTTTTTCAATCGCGGAAAATATTGTTCAATACTCATCTGGATTGAAGCAGCAAACATTCAGTGTAAGAGTAAAAAAATGACATAACGTTACTTATAACTTTATTTCTTGCTACAGCTGCTACAGTGTTTTGACCCCGACAACCCAACTACATACCGCAAACTTGCGACTAATTAACTTTATAAAGAAAGCGTCATCGCTTGTTAAGGGAGTCGGGACGGAAATTCAACATTGACACTGAACATTCAGCACTTTTTAATGTGTGATTTACGAGATCACGGGATACCAACCTTTAGTGAACTTCACCAGCCGTCTTCTCTGCACCAAAATTAATAGACACAGCTGCTTACAGCGATGATCGCTGATGGAGACGGAGACACGCGGTGTGCACGAAGGGGAGGGGCTGTGTGTGTAGGTCTCTGTATGTGGGAGAGACGCGTAGCTTGAGTGAGAGTTACGAAGGGCCGCCACATTTTAAACCCCCCTCCCCGCTGTCAAATTGACCGCTGCGGCGGCACTAGACGATGCATGTTTTAAATAGCGTAACAAAAAAAAAATATATATAATAATACGAAACGCAATTTGTGGCGGGCGGTCTCTAATCTGTGGCGGTGCGCCACAGATTAGTCTATGTGTGGGAAACACTGGGATCTAAAAGATGGTTGGATTCTTGCATGTTTTACCGATCCCCTAGCTATTTCCCCAAACTCTATGGCCATGTTTCATCTCTTTGTTTTAATAATTTCACATTGTAATTACCCATACGCTATTTTTTCCCTCATTTAAACTGATAAAAAAATACATACATCAAATAAATTAAAAACAGTAAAAGAAAAAAGTAAAGTAAACATAAACTATAGATAAGTCTGTAGTCCAGATATTTTTTTGTTTTGTAGTTAGGGTACGTGTTCAAACCCTGGTATTGATTTCCATTCCATTCCATGCAAGACACCGGGGTAGTCTTGCACAGTTTTTCCTATGTGGCAGTGGCGGCCGGCCAATAGAGGGCGCTAGGGCGCCGCCCCACCACTCACAACTTGCCATGTTACCTTGAATAAAACATTAAAAAAAATAATAACATTAAAATATTTCGAAATTTATGTGCGTTTTATTTCAGATGTGGAAGAAATACTTTATAGTTTATGCTGAGTTGGATTGATTAAGCTCATCAGCGTTGTCTGTGTCGGACTGAGGACGTATTTCCGCCTCAGGGCGCAAAAGATTGCGCCCTGAGCCGTCTATGGACTCTCGTTAAAAGTTGTACATGCGCAGTAGCTCCTCTTCAATGCAAGAGATAAGACGATTTGGGGGCGCAGGAGAAGTGCGCCCTGAGGGGGCGGGATCGCCCGCGACCTGTACTGTCACTGTCTGTGACGTCCGTTTACAGTGATTGACAGGTCAAGCTGTGGGAGTTTGAGACGAACGTAAAGAGACGCAAAATGGAGAACGAGAAAAAGAATAATTCAGTTAGATCACTCAAAACAATACCGTTTGAGAGAAGATCATACCAGGAGAAGGTTGAGGTTAAAGAGCTTGGACTTGATCAGCCAAATATTACCATTAGTCAGCAGTCCAGCGACAGGGGGAGACGGTACACTCGTACTTTTTCCAGGACCTGGTTCAGCGCCAAATCTTGGCTAGCAGCATGTAGCGAGGCTAATGCTTTATTTTGCTTTCCATGCCTCTTGTTTCAAACATCAGGATCTGACCCAGCATGGATCAAGACAGGTATGACTGATCTGAAGCACTTTTTAGAAAAGGCAAAGAAGCATGAGCAGACTGGTATCCACATGCAAAATGCCCTCAAATTAGCTATGTTTGGGAAGATAAATATTTCATCCCAGCTGGATGAAAGCTACAGGGTAGGGATCAGAAAGCATCATGTGACCTTGTTGATTCTCGTGTGAGGCTTCAGTCACAACAGTCAGTGTAAACTTACTTACTGCTGGTATATATCTAGTCATCATATTCATAGCCCCCCCAGTAGAAAATTCCACCAGCCGCCACTGCTATGTGGTTTTACTGCAAATGGCAAATAAATGAATCTGAATCTGATCTTATTTCCAAATTACAGGGTATTTACATATCCTGGTGATTAAAATACGGTCAAAATGTTCTTCTTTAGTAAAAGTTTCCGCTTTTGGGAGCAGATCCCTCTCTCAATATGGGCCTCCCCAATGTTTCTCACATTCTTTTCATTCTTTTTGCCTCTTTTTTTTTTTTTTGAGTAGTTCCTGGCTGATGCAGTAGTTCCTAACCCTGATGCTGGGACATTCAGGGACATTTATTCACATTTATGGACATCATCATCCCGCTATGAACCAATGTCTCCTAAGTATTTTTTATTATTGCATTTCCTGTGTTAAAACGGTTTTGATTAACTATCATTGGCGAACTGACCACTTTGTAAAGTCCTCGAAAACGACTGCTGTGATTTAGGGCTATACAAAATAAATAAATAAACTAAATAAAATAACAGTAATAATTGAATTTAATGTTTTTAAAATGAAACTCCTTGTATATTGTCAATATTCATGTCTTATCCAAACATGTGTTTCTGATGTCAACATGTCTAAATTCAACATTCCCATGGTAACCGACAACAACAAAGTATTAGAATACTAAGTTATTGATGCACCATTGGGGAATTTAAAACATGCTTTCTCGGGCTATTCGCAGTCTGAAAAGTTGAGCTGGTTATGAAACGTTGTTTTTGGCGCCAGTTGTCGCTTCTTCAGATGCATAATTCTTTTTAATGGAGCGACCTGGATGGACACGACAGGGAAAGGCCGATGTCTCCCCTGACTCTTATATAGGACACACCAACTATTTCTGTGTTTGCAAACTACTAAAACATATCACATAACTACGAATCTTACCCAAACTAAAGTATTACGACACTATTTATTTGGATATAAGTTGAGTGAATATGAGTTGAGTGGTCCTCTGTGTTTAAATATTGTTTTAGCTTTATTATTTCATAATTTTGTATTTATCTTATATACAATAACATTTGTTTACTCTCACATAAATTTTTTTATATTAAAATGTTTATACATTAAAAAAGCTGGCAGACTTGTATCATTAAATGTTGCTTTTGCCTCTTTGGAAAAATAAATAAAGCTAAATAAATAAAATGGATAGGATAGTATAAGATATAACAATTCATATGAACCCATTGGTGCCCAAGTTACATAATTCATAAATAAACTTGCGGGAAATATACAGCAGCAGCATCAGTTTGAAAGTTAGGTCCCTCCAGCTTTATTTAACAAATACATTTTCACAGCTTAAAGAGAGTCAGTGTAGAATTCTCAAATTTGACTGATTTCAGCAAAATATCACAGAAATTTCCCCACAGTGGGACGAGGAAAGGTTGTCATATCTAATTTCCTGTTTCTTACATCCTAAGCCTTAGAGGATCAATAAAGTATCTATCTATATTTCTATCTATCTATCTATCTACAGTGTATCTATCTATCTATTTATCTATCTATCTATTTATCTATCTATCTACAGTGTATCTATCTATGTATCTATCTATCTACAGTGTATCTATCTATCTATCTATCTACAGTGTATCTATCTATCTATCTATCTACAGCAGGGGTGCTCACACTTTTTCAGCATGCGAGCTACTTATAAAAGGATCAAGTCAAAATGATCTACCTACTACAAAAATGCAAATCATATATTTCAAAAAATATTCTTTATATCTACAATGTATGTTTATGTACATGCAAAACCGCATGAGCCAATATAGCACAACACAACACAATTACCTATGTACATTTTTTGTCATTACCCGAGTTTACTCTTATGACTTGCACTGAATTGAATCGGCCAGGGATGCATAGTCCGGAAAATTGGTGGTAACTCGCTGACAAGTTTGTCGTGGTTTAGCTTTCCTGCACTGAGCGCGGTTGTTTGCGCATGTGCAGTCACCTAAGTGTCAGTAAAACATTACTGAGTAAAACACAGATGTCATTTGACTGCGGTGCCATGTCCATGTGCCATGCCTATTTTTTTTAAATCCAAATATTTCCCCTCCTCCGTTTATAAAATAATTTGCATCCACACATCTGCGTTATCAGTCACATTCGTAACATTCCAAACATGTGCGTCTCTTACGTCCTGTCCTGCGTTGGGGAAAAACACAGAAGTGGGCGGAGCTTTGATGCAGACGCCGGTAACGGCACTTTTACAGTCATAGAAGACACTCAGAGTAAAGACGTATGTTTACAAGCACTGACCCCGTCCTCAGCCCTGGTTTAGTCCTGGTTTAGTCCTGGTTTAGTCCTGGTTTAGTCCTGGTTTGTCCTGGTTTAGTCCTGTTTGGTTGTTTTCGAGCGTGAGTCCCCGCGATCACTTTGCTGCTCTCTGATGTGGAGGATGTTCGCTGCTGCGAGCATCTCACAGCGAACAGTTTTTAAGGTAGTATGATCCATGCTTCAGTGATCAGAGGAATTTAGGGGGGTACTGTGGCGTGCGAGAACGCAAAACTCCGGTTATCTCTGTCTACACACAAATGCATTAACGGAGTTTTCAAAAATCTCCACTTTGCCCGGAGTTTTTTGTATATATTCGTTTAGAATGTGTAATTTTTTATTTATTTAATGCGATCTACCAATACTACCTTTGCGATCGACTGGTAGATCGCGATCGACGTATTGAGCACCCCTGATCTACAGTGTATCTATCTATCTACAGTGTATCTATCTATCTATCTACAGTGTATCTATCTATCTATCTATCTATCTACAGTGTATCTATCTATCTACAGTGTATCTATCTATCTATCTATCTACAGTGTATCTATCTATCTATCTATCTACAGTGTATCTATCTATCTATCGATCTATCTACAGTGTATCTATCTATCTATCTATATACAGTGTATCTATCTATCTATCTATCTACAGTGTATCTATCTATCTATCGATCTATCTACAGTGTATCTATCTATCTAAAGTGTATCTATCTATCTGTCTGTCTATATTTCTATCTAACTATCTATTCTTATGTCTATCAATATTCTTCTATCTCTTTTCTATCAATATTTCTATCTATCTAATTTGCTATCTATCCATCTATCTATCGCTTTGCAAAATCTTCACATAGATTTCCATAGTGTGCGACATTAGCAATACCATCCGCTTTACCGACACGTGTATATATATATATATATATATATATATATATATATATATATATATATATATATATATATATATATATCGCATCCTTTACAAAAACAATAAATACAAAAGTAAACCGACGCAAGCCTCCGAACCAATTACCCGCCTATCCAGCGGCGCCTCGCAGCCTCCCGCCCCATGTAATTGAGTGGGCAATGGAATAACATGGCCCTTGATGAAACATTTCACACTTAGGCGCCTGCCGGAGAATACAGTGCAGGTGCGAACGGCGGTAATTTGCGGCGAGGTGGAGTAGAGGGATCCAGCCGAGAGACGCCATCGACGCATGTGAATGTGCTCTGCCAACGCGCCTTGAAATTAAAAGATGAGATGGGACACAAAAGCTAGCGCGCCGCTGGGATTAATGCGCCACTATTGCGCGTACTCCGCTTTGTAATGCGCTCTTGTTGCCAAAACGCTTCTCTCAATAGACCTTTCCGCTGTGTGGGAAAGAAATAAATGTGAGTGTCTGTATTCAACGGAAGGCAAAAAGGTTATGGGGAACTAAATGCTTGAGTGTGTGGTTCTGAATGGAGGTGATGAAACAGTGGTTACTACATACTATTGCAAGCAAGGGTCTATGAAGAGTAAACTACGCAATTTGTTTATTCCACGCGTGCATTCCGAGACGCACATGCATTTTGACGCTCGAATGCGCGTCACAATTGACTTTGCATTGAAAGCCGATGCAACGCATGATCCGGTCTGAACGCGGCATAAGGAGAGTGTTCATCCCGCTCCCTGTGGATCAAAGGCTCCTATGTTTTTGTTATTATTGCATTTCCTGTTTTTGAACTGTTCTGATCTGTTGTTGGTGAATCGACAACTTTATAAAATCCTCCGAGCAGACTGCTGTTGTGATTTATTGCTACACAAAAAATAAATGGAATTGAATATTGAACTCCAACAGTCCAACACTCCAGCTTTATACAGTAGAATGGCATCGCAAATAAAATCGCTCAAGTGCTGATATAGCTGCAGGTTACAGGCAGCGGAATTTTGGATTTGTACATAATCTACACAATGACCTTCTTCTGAGAGTCAAAAAATTGCGCTTTTAAACCGGCATGATACATTTTAAACTGGGATCTACAGTGCGCCACACTGGGAAGACATGCAGTGGAGGTAAGATGAACATTAAAAAAACTGAGAATTTTCTTTTTACATGTTTTTACCAACTCAGACTCTGAGGAGCACAGGGACTGGCCTCCAGCTGGTGCCCAGAGACACGACTAAATCAGATTGATGCAGCTTAATGAGTCTGGTGTGTGTGTGTGAATGGTTGGTGGTGGTGGGAGGGGCCGATGGCACATACTGGTTGCCTCGCTTCTGTCAGTGTGCCCCAGGGCAGCTGTTGCTACAGTAGTAGTTTATCACCACTGTGTATGGAGAGAATGAATAATGACATGTAAAGCGTCTTTGAGTATCCAAAAAGCGCAATATAAAACTGATGCATTTTTTATTTTTATTTTTTTGAAAATTGGGAACGGGAATCGTCTTCCTAAAAATGTGAGGCAGGCTTCTTCTTTGCAATGTTCAAATCCAGTTTAGTTTTGCTTAGCTCTGCGTACGAGGATGGAATCTTCACTATTTTAAATGTACTGTGATTATTTATGATTGTAATGCCTTTGAGTGGCCTTGTGTATGCACTGTGCTACACAAATAAACCTGCCTTGCCTATAATTAATAAGGTACATTTGCTTAACGTGTTGTTGCAGATTACAGTGCAGTCACATCCAGGTTTAATGGAAAAAGCAGGCACAGGTCATTCTTCTTACTCTAACAGGTGCAATGAACCACTCACCCCTTCTTAACGATGACGACGATGGCTCCGAGCAGCAGGATCAGGACCACCAGCCCCCCAGCGCACGCACCCAGAATCAGGCCCATGTCCTCGGCATGCTGGGATACCTCCAGGGCCCTCTTGGAGTCCTTGCAGGCAGCTGGTGCACAAAGAGCAGAGAGAAAAGCATCAGTGCATAGGTTCCACTCACGTTCAAGAAAGTTTTGAAGTCCACACATCTGAAAAAGAAAAAAATAATCTACACAACGGTTTAAAATGAAATAAATGGACACCTGCATTTCTCCTAAGGGGATCAATAGTGTCTATCTATCCATCTATCATTTTCATTTCTTGTTATGTGAAGGATGTTGAATGGCTTTGCGTATGAATTTTGCATCTCATATTCTGAAGTATGATACGTAATCTTTCTTTTTGCATGGTTCATGTTTTCCCATAATGAATTTATAACTTGGCAAATATTTATCAAACTACTCCAGTCAAGCGGCAATTTGAAAAGCGCATTTTGAAAAAGATTGATAATAATTGGTTTGTGCTTTCACATATTCTTCATTTCAACATCATTTGATCATCCGAGACACTCAAAAAAACTGAGTAAAAAGATCACCAAAATGATCAAAACCACAGGGTTAGGACTGTGAATATTTGACCATAATGGTGATCTAGTTTTCTTCAGAAGACATTACGTTAGCCAAAAATAATTACAGCTGTTTAGCATTTGATGATTGCGTCCATCCAAATTGAGACTTTGATTCCAATTGCCATTAATCTTCCAATCCTGGTGCCAATACCAATTAGACCAATACTAATTGCAAAGGCGGCATGTTACGTCTCTCAGTCTGGTGTCAATAAATCATGGTCACATTTATAACGATACAGTAATGTAATTAACAGAGACAACACAGCGCAGACTCTGCCAAACGGACTGGCAGCTCCGCTCTGGACCCGTGAAAGAGGAAAGAGGGGAATCCTTCAGGCTGTTCTTTTGACGAATGCAGCCTCGGACAGTGCCAAGTCAAGTCTCCCGCAGGAAAAATGGCTGCACCTCTCGATCGTACATCAATGTAATTATGAGTGTATTTAATTTATGGTCTTTCCAATATCACAGTGGGTGGGTTTGATGGAATTACCTTACATTGTGAGAAATATGGCTCCAATTAATTTCAGAATTCTTTTTATTGCCATTGTAGTCTCAAACTAGGAATTTTATGTTATATACAATAAAAACTAGTTCTAAAAGTAGAAACGAGATGAAAAGGTATGCATGAAAAAAATCTTAATGCAATTCTAGTATATAAGTACACACAATAGACCTTAAACAGTACAGAGTATCACTAAATCACAAGAGCGATAAGATAATAAAGGGACCATAAGTATAAAGTGACCGGATCTATTGTTTTTTATAATCTTGAAAAGCTGAGGAACCCAACTTTCACACTGTGTAACTATATAATGTAGTTATATAGTTGCTCTAACTGCATCTAACTAGTTGCTGGGTCAAAAGCAGTTTGGCTCTATCAATAGTTTTCACATACATGAACACATGGCTGAAAAAGCTGATCTAAAAAAGTGAAAAAGAGAGGACCACCCTCACTCAGCGAATCTGAACCCACCAAGCATCAAATCGTGACTCGCAGGGCTTTTCATTTTATCGATTGTCAATTTGGTTGGGACAGTGCATGTTAACGAACAGACCTCTCCGAATCATAGTAGCTTTGGGCTAATTTGCATCCGTTGTACCACAATCGCACTCTCACTCATTCACCCTAAACTATTGTATGTGTTTTTTGTAATAAACCGGAGCACCCAGAGGAAACCTAAGCAGGGAAACTCCACACAGAAAGGCCCCGCTAACCGCTGTGCTACCGTGCCGCCTTTCTTGCAAAATTATGCAGAAGATAACATGTTACAAAGAGATAGGTACCCCTGCATTAAGATATATCTATGCGAGTATCTACCTATCTATCTACGCCTCATCCATCTTCCCAACGCTCTACAGGATCCCACTCATAACCACACTTGACATAAATGGAGAACTTCGCCCTAGCGGAATATTAACGGCCTGTTGAACAAATTTAAAATAATCCTCCTTTAAGCCAACAGACGCGACACCATCTCAGCACAAATTACGATGCCCCTGTGTGCCCTGGATGTAATAATACTGTATTTGAGGAGATATGAGCTGTAGGTGCCTGGGCTGGGGGAAAAGCCTTATATGGACTCTGCTAATCCGGCTCGGCTCTCGAAAACGCAACGTGGTAAGGAGGTCGTAGAAATGTCAAGGTTTATAGCCCTGTGGTGTAAAATGATACAGGACAAACATGTAGCGTCCTACATGTCCATCTCCACTGAGAATATTCCAAAGTATTTCTTTCACTTTAACTTTTTTTTAACTGTTATATGGAGTGTTTTTCCCCCTGTTCTGTTCCTGTCTCCCCTCTGCTTGTGGGTGCTGTGCTGGGCCTTGGAGAAGGACTGTATATGTTTGGATATTTTAGTTTTTTTGGTATCTGAAGGTCAACAATTGGTGCTGTGGCAGACTTTGAGAAGAGTGTCTGTTTTGTCTTGTATAAAGCATTCTGTTAAACTTGTTGTTTTAGCATCAATAAAACATGTTTTCTGCCTGTGACTCGATCCCAGACCTCCACATCTTGTTTCATTCTCAACGAGTGTTTGGTGAGATGGCGACCAATCGGAGCAAGGAGGGAGTTTTTAAACAAAGAAGGCCGATTCTCTTGCGCTCTCTCTCTCTCTCTCTTTGGTACCGCCTCAGCTACCATGTGGTTAGCTTTCTGCATGTTTGCTTGTGGTACCCTTTAGGTTTTGCTTGTTTAGACACACTAGCTGTATCAGTTGCTGCGACCCCTATTGTTTTATGTTCTATAAAACATAAAGAAGGCATAATGAAGAAAATAGAATGATTCCTGCGCTTTAACAGAAACAAAAGTATGCATTAGCAAATTGAACAAAATGACATTTAGCTGGAGTTTCTAAAAATGATAATGGTAAAATGTGTTTTGCCTCCACATGCAACAAATTGTGAATGCGCACTTACTACTTTCCTTCTTTGACAGATTCATATTTTGCAAACAGACACATGAGACTTCAAAAATGCAATTTCAATAAATATAAGATAACTATGCCATTAATGTAGTATTTTTGTTCAAATGGGACAGAGCATTGGGTAAAGGTGTAAAAGTTTGTATTTTGTACTGAACTGTTTCAAATTGTTTAGAAATATATCGTATTGTATTGTATTTCTGTTTTTTAAGGGATGCCTTTATATCTATTTTTTTTATAAGTTCTTTGCACCATGAGCCAAAACAAATTCGTAGTTTGTGACAATCTGTAACTTACAATGGCCCACCCCTACGCAATAAACCGTATACTCGGTTCCCCTAACTTCTGATATTTCTGCTTCCCTTTGTGCACTCAATCTCGCAGTAATTCAGACACATTTCCGAACCATGAAAAAACATCCATATGGAAACGACACTTCATTGAGTATGTGGAACACGACTGCATGTGCAATTTCTGTCATCTTCCCTTTTCACTCAGTGCCAAAGAGCAACATGGCTTTTTTCTCTTAAACCAGTCATAGACAGACATTTCAGCAGTCTCTTTGCTAAAAAGGGTAAGAGCTTTTGCAGCCATATAGGTGAACTGAAATATCCACTGAAAGCATCAATTCAAGGCCCAATTTACAAATATATTTAGTTTGATTTTTCTCTTTTTTCCCGCTTGCAATGTCTGTGTCGGTAATCGCTTCACTCAACGGCAGCTGTTCAGACTCCTACTACCACATTCGCCTCAAAAAATCTCACCCAAAACTGTGAAAATCCTCCTTTCTGTGAATCAACATGGCACCCTGTAGTTTGGGTCTCTCCAAAAAGGTGAAATGAAAGTCTTGCATGTATAGGAATAGAAGGAGACATATGCTACACGTGGCTTTGTACGGCAAGCCAAGCAGAACAAAAAGAGTACAATGAAAGTCTTTTGGAAGGATCTCAAAAGTTGAAATTGGACTGACACCGAGGGAAAACTGCCTGCCAATACGATCACATGGCAAAGCTTAGATGCTCAATGCTGGTAGCTTAATTAAGACGGCTAACTGGATTTTTGTGAAGTTTGCGAAGCTCGGGAGAGGACAGAAACTTTTCAATGGAGCTCAAACTGGAATGTCTACCATGGCAAAAGCGGCGGGCTAATTTCCTTTCGTTACAAGTTAGCTATAATCCCATTTACATGCAATGGGAGATGATGACTTTGTAGCTATTTGGATTGAGGCCTGTGAAAGTGCTACTTTAAACACAGAGCTAGCCATTATTGTTCAGGCTAGAGTTTCAATTATTGCTGAGGATTTGTGATGACACAAACTACTGTAACTAAAAACAGATATTGGAGTTATTCCCAGACACCTTTGCAGACAAGCTCAATGACCCCTTCTTATCATGAGCAGGAGTAATATGTTTATTTATTTATTCGAACAGTGTTAATTCTGCTCAAAAGGAGTGGGCTGGACTACAATCAGACTTTTCATATCACAATACAATAGTACAGAACATAGACACAAAAGCACACTAACCAAACTACATATGCACATCCTGGATTATGGAATAATCCACATTCAGCAATTTAGAAAGAATAAAGAATAGATCATAAAATTGACCAGAGAGAGAGAGAGTAGAAAAAGACCAGAGAGAGACCTGAGAGAAACCAGAGAGAGACCAGTGAGAAACCAGAGAGAGAGGTCAGTGAGACAATAGAGATAGACCAGAGTGAGATACCAGAGAGAGAAACCAGAGAGAGAAACCAGAGAGAGAAACCAGAGAGAGAAACCAGAGAGAGAAACCAGGGAGAGAGAGACCAGAGAGAGAGATGCCAGAGAGAGACCAGAAAGACAAACCAGAGAGAGAAACCAGAGAGAGAGAGACCAGAGAGAGAGATGCCAGAGAGACACCAGAGAGAGAGACCAGAAAGAGAGACCAGAGAGAGAGATGCTAGAGAGAGACCAGAGAAATATACCAGAAAGAGAGACCAGAGAGAGAGAGACCAGAGAGCCTCATTGACAAAAAGGGACAAAAAGAGATGTTACGTTTCAAAACAGCTTAAATAACAAGAATTTGAACTGTTCGTCGTATT